CTTAGGCCTTTGCTCGAAGTGTTTCCATTGCCACTCGAGCGGAAATCTGGCCACGAGCCGGGTAACTGGTCGCCCATCCTCCACTTCCTCCACGCGGGTGTATAGGGAGTCTATGGCCACGTCCGTCAAAGGTTTCACAACAAAGTACCTCTCTTTGAAGTGTCAGACAAATTCTAGATAAGGCCTAAAAAGCTTCCCAATCTGTTTGAAGGACACTCACGCTTGCCCTCCTCCAATGGATTGCCTTTGAAGGTGAAAGATACAGAATAAGAGGGACAACATAGCGCCTATCTACAGATACTAACAGACAAGCTTAAACGCCTGCACGTTTGGGTGAAGTGAAGAGGGCGCCAATTGAAGCCACTGAAAAACCCCCAATTGAAAATCTTTGAAGGGCAAACGCATCCCCGACTCTTTAAATGTGAACTCGTACATAGGAAAATGTTTGCCCGGATATGTCGAGTAGATCCTCCGATTGCGATGGGGAATTTGAAGAATCCAGTTGGCGGGGGCCGCTTCGGCCCGAACCACTGGACAATTGAACGCGTCCGTTGCATCGTGCAAGAAGCACAACCTTTTATTTTTAGGCTCAAGTGCGACCCAGGCCAAGGGGTCCTCCTCGACATTGATTTCATCTTCGTAGTTGGCGGGCAAGACATCACCCCTGATCGAGTGTGCCATTATACCTGAAAAGCATGGGAAAACAGTGAATTCGACAATATCAAATTCACTCTTCCACCGCAGATCAAGTGAAAGGGCGATGAAGCGGTCGAGGAGCGAACCTCGACCCAATCCCCCAACTACACACTAAAATGGACTACACTTTTGTTGGAGATATCCGGTCAAACGAGCAAAAAGCCCGAGTCAACCCTAACTATTTGGGGAAATCGTCCCCGACATCATGACCACTGCTCGGGGAGATTCTCCCCGACATCATAAACTCATGAACTTCAATGAACATTCACGAGTGTTCATCGCATAACTCATGAATGTTCATCCAAGATTCATCCAATCAAGGCAAAAACTAGGTATTTAATCTAGAAACACTGAGGAAATACATTGTTAAGGAGATATGACTTACTTGGATGAAGGATTCTTGAAAGAAATCTAGAAAAGTTGAGAGGAGAGGATTCACGTGTGAGCAAGGGAAGTTGAAGGAGAGAACTTGAGAAATGACAAATGAAAACCATGGGTCCCCTTTTTATAGGTGGCTCACACCCCACGAGGTTCATCATAAAAAGTCATAACTGGATTGGGCCGTTTGGACTCCTCACGAAGGGATGGCACCCCAAAGGAACAACCACATGGCCCAACAATCACCCACATGTCCATTATCAAGAGACGAGCACTTCTCCGACTTCAACACAAAACTCCCTACACGAGCACGAGGCAGACGCCTCACACAGGAGAATGCTCGATACCATGGCTAAGACATGTATACGGGCACATTCGTCAAGATCCACCTTAAGAGCGAAATAACGCTCGACATCGTGACAACCCCTTGAAGACGGACACGTTGAAAGAGAATTCGTGGAAGCTCCCGGTAACTTATTCACTCTTGTCGGACAAACAACTAACCTAGTCAGTCTCACTGCTCGTTTGTACACAAGATCCCTGAAACGTTCAAACAGGTTATCCCCAACACAGGAAACAACTCGCTTCCTTTCAGAGGACTTCGACCTTCCTTCCCGAGCGAATCCCCCCGACTATAAAAGCTGAACTTAAGTCATCATCCTTTCACCTAAGGGAAATAACTTGGGGGGCTCCTGATCTGGACTGGGCCTGCACTTGCCCCACGGTTGGGAGGCCCAATCCAACACCCTTGTATAAGGCTCAAAGGAAAGCAACCCAAGCTAGGGACCGTTGGGTAACTCCCCACGCATCCATTAGGGAACGTGGCTCGTGTGTCCGTGTCACTGTTATCTTAACTTCCTCTGGAAATTACGGGTCTAACCCCTATTCTTACGGAGCATTTGACCAGGGGGGAGTCCACTTGCTGGACTCCATACACACGTAAGCCCTGACAGTCTTCATTATTGGTCCTCATCATGACCTAACGACGGGGACCTTGGTCCAGCGCTGGAGGCTATAAATACCCTCTCATTTGAGAGGGTCATGTATTCATTCTCATACTCATACTCACACTTGCTTGAACTCTCCCTGAAACTTACTTTGGCATCAGAGTGTCTTGCAGGTACCCCCATCTCGCTTTCAACCTCAGCTCGACGTAAGACCTTGATGATCACTCTAGTCAGGTACGATCTCTATCTATTCTATTGGGTTCCCTATCATGAATGTGATTTAGTCCCCTTGAATTTCTTGCCTCCATGCACCAGCCAACAATCAACTCCACTACTTTATTTTATGCGACAATGAGGTTTCTAGAAGGGCGTATCTACAATGATAAGACATCTGACCGAGCCCAGTCAAGATGATATTCACACATCATTTTTTCTCTAACATAATTTCAACTATTACTGCTTGAATCTGAGTCAGACTTAAATCTGGATACACATATGTTCGTCTGTGAATTTTGACCGGGGGTGGGAGATCAAGATTCTTGGTCGGCCTGAACTTGAATCGAACCTAAATGGTCGGAACTTCATATTTCTAGGTCCAGATCTGAAGATATTTACTAGCTTCCTTCCAAGGTGGCTCAATATCGATATTAACAATTGATTGGAGTTGGATCAAAATTTGATGGATTCGAATATCGTGGAGCTGAGATCTCCACTCTATGGGAACTTTGATTTTTCATCTGATACACTTTCAGATTCTAGACATGTGAATTAGATCTGACCTTGTGGAAATCATAAGAATCAGAAGTTCATTCCCACATACAACATCGTTGTTCCATTACAGAACCAGAAATGAAGATGATTGCAGAAACTATGGTGGAACAAAACTTCCTAAGAGATTCAATGATGTAGCACAATGGATCGGAAGTTACGATCGCGGTGCTTCTTGTATCAAAGACGTTAATCTTGAATTAGTGTTGCTAATATTTGGTGTGATAGATCAAGGGGATCTGCATGGTTAGGACTCCAATGCCTAAGTTAGTTTAGGGTTCAAGATAATCATAGTGAGAATGGAGATTAGAGATTGAGTACCTAAAAAATCCTTTGTGAAGGTATTTATATCTTACACTCAATGGACCATATTGGATATGTCAACTTCGTGTTATTGGACCTTTAGTCGACACAAAATAATTATGATGATTAAACCCTTCAAGTATGAAAGAAATAAACAGGACTCCTAGTTTGGATATTAAACTAATCATTATGTAATTTTCTCCATCTTTTATCTCTATCGTCGTGGAAATATTTTATCCATCCTTAATTTATTTGAAAAAGTTAATTATCAAAAGAAACAAAAATTTTTTAAAAAAATTGTTTATATAAATTTTTTAACACCATCCAAACTCCCTATTTATTTGTTTTATGCACCTTCAATTTGTATTAGAGCTCAACCTCTTGATTAGAAATAATTCTATGAGGAAAATGTCTTATAAAAACACAAATGAAAGTGATATATAGAATGATATGTTAATTGTTCATCACTATTCAATGAAGTAGACTTTTATTATTGAAAAGATCTAAGTATTTTTTAATATGTTAATGTCCAACTACAAAATTGAATTTAGTTGGGAATGCTACTATTCTCCTATAAAAAAAATACAATACAGTAATGTTGAGAGGAGACTAGAGTGCACCACAAAATAAAGAGTGATAAGTGTTTCTTTAGCTGGAATTCAGTTGATGTTTCAATTCCAATTCTGAGGGTTTTGCTATGAATGGAACATTGTGTTCCATCAATTTAACTATAATCTTCATGATTTTAATGTTTTCCATCATGCCTTCAATTGGGAGGAGAGGCCCACTTATAATACCTTCCATTTGCAATGTATTTTTGTCTTCTTCACCCAACTCTTGTTCCAACTAATTTGTACTCTTTATGATTTACTGCCTCTTAAAAATTTTCTAAGCTCACTTAGAGCATATAAAATTGAATTATAGATGACAAAGAACCTCGTAAAAAACAAAGTCATTCACTTTGAAATCCAACACCAAAACATCAATTCAAAATATTTCACATGTTATTTATTTTTTATTTTTTTAAAAGTTACTAAGTTACTTATTATATTACAATAAATTATTCAAATAATATTAAGTAATTATATTTAGCCTAACCCTCACCAAACCCTTAAAAAAAACCTAAAGTGAGGCTTCATGCACGAGATTAAGATAGTAATTTTTTTTTTTTTTTGCAAAAAAATAACATTTATAACATATTTTTAGAAGAAAAAAAGAAGAGGATGTAATAGGACAAACACTAATATTTAATTTTTCCATGATATATATGAGTTGGCCAATGTCTTACACCTCTATAATTAATTATTATTTTCTTGAATAACATGTATATAGTTATTCTTTAAAATAAAAAATTTCAAACTATTTACTAATTTGTCACTACATGCATGTATTACACCAACTTTCATTAAAATTGGTGCAATTCAAAAATTATATTCTCATTTTCCACATTATTTAACACTAAAAAACAACTTGTTTTGCATGCCTAATTAAATTATGTATTTATTTAAGTATTTAATATAACTTTTAAAGAATCTATCTCATTTTTTATTGTATATTTTTGGTAGGTACATGAAGAAGCTACGCAAATATTATAAATTATGCAAAGATTGATTAATATTTTTCTTTTTAAGTATGTGTGGTTTAATATAGTAAGCTAAAATAATAAAACTAGCAAAAATATTTGTATGAGCTTAATGAAAAATTATTATTATACTTCAACTCGTTCCAACCTCCAATTAATCATTCATGAAGTGTGTAAGCATATTTGGTGAAGAATCATGTTTGCATGAGCTTATAAAAAAACTCACGTACTTATTTAATTACCAAAAATCATAATAACATTTACATGATAAAACCAACCTATTAAAAAGAAGAGAAATGAAACAAGTTTCAAAAAACAAAGTAAACATGAAAATCAACAACTTGTTAGTGGCACTATTCCTGTCGATGAGATTGATTTCACCAATTTTTTCAATAAAAGATAATGCAATAGACCTTGTTACAGCTACCGAGGAGATGCAAAAAGCAAATTACTTCACATTTGTTATGCTAATAAAAATGTCTCCACCTGACACAAGACTTGAAGGAAATGTAACATTCTTGATGCCTAATGATCGAATGCTCGCCAACATGACACTTGAAGAAGGTTCTGTTCCTGACTTTTTGTTGAGACATTCAATCCCATCACCTTTACTATTTGACACATTGAAACAATTCCCTACTGGAACAACTGTTCCCAGCTTATTGCCAAATTGCATGTTGAGAGTATCTAACAATGGTAGAAGGAATTTTGTTGTCAACAATGTGAAAATTATTAGCCCAAATATATGTGTGGCTGGATCTTCGATTCGATGTCATGGTATAGACGGGGTTTTGACACAATCATGTGCATTGGGAAATAATTATAGTCTTCCTATACTTCCATCTCCATGTTCTAATGATACCACAAACATTTCTTGCAATGCATCTCCTTTTTCACCTTCTATTGGAGACAAACTTAATCCTCCAATATGGATTGCTCCAACTCCAACAATTACAAATATTGAACCACACCATAAATCAGCCTCTCCACGTTGGTTTTTTTATGATGCATATTTTATATGTCTAGCATGCTTCATGTTGTCTCTCATAGGAATGTATTTCTAACCTGCTTCACGTTGTCTAACATCTACTTTGTAATGGTTTTTTTCCTTTCTTATTTCTTTTAAAATTAATCTTAACATTATAGCAGTAATATTAAATAAATAATAAATCTAAGATCAAAATTGTATATACTTGAAAGAGTTCGTTGATTTGTAGTGAAGAAAATTAGGGGGAAATACATGTGTGACAAATACTACTTTAATCACAAATATTACCTTGAAGTAAGATCAAAATACATAAAACAATAGTCAATAAAAGCACACAATATGAAATATCAGAATATAAAATAGTTATAAATAAAAACTTGTTTCACGTTTGCTAACGGTGGCATCATGTGATTTATTTTATGACAAAATTGCAAAACTAACCGCACATAAGGTTTTACATCAGTTGAATAATCAAGCGATGTAAAAGGACGGTATTAAATAATTTTTCCACTTGCGAATTTTAGATTATGTAGTCTTTCTTTCAGCTTGAAAATAAAACAATATTATGCTATCTTAAACTATGAAATTGTTTAAATTTTAAATTAAGAAACGGTGAAGAGAAGACAAATATACTAAAAAATAAAAGATATATCTTTTATATATTAGAAAATTTTGAGTATCTCAATAAAACTATAATATGAGTATTAATAGTAGATAATAACTGATTTTATCGGTTGTTTAGAATTTGAAGTGGGCTAGAGACTTCGACTTCAATGCTAAAATGGAGGAGGAGGATGTACTTGCAAGATACTCCGACACTAAAGTCAATAGGAGCACAAAGAGATATAAGATAGAAAGTCTAGGGTTTTAGAAGTATGTGATGAACATTGAATACATGTCCCTCACATGTATAAGGATTTATATAATTCCCCAGACACTTGTCTGTTGGTCTTTATTTTTGGGCCTAGATATGCGGGTCCGCAAAAATAGATAACTGCCAAGACTTGGTCAAAACGGACAGTCGTGCCCGTAACTAGCTGTTGCTCCGAGTAGGAGAGAGATTACAGGTAGATGTATTTTGGATGTTTCCTGGTTGTCTGCTCGACTCGTGTCGGGCAGGTATGAAGGAAGCTGCTACTGCAGACAAATGCGTCTTGGACATTCCCTGGTTGTCAGTTTCACACGTGTCGAGCAGACATAGAGGAAGTTGCCGTTGCATGGTCTTTTTGTGGTTTCAACCTTTCTTTCCATGTTGTGGATGGGTTATGCAAAGATTATATGTGATTAATTGTCTTTGTTGCTTACTCCACTTTGCAAATTAGACATCCTTTGTATTTGTTCTACACTTTCCCAATAAAACATGGTCATATCTTTGTTTTTGAATTACATGATAGCCTTTTGATTACTTATTTGATGTTATAAGTTTTACCAGTTTATGTTGGTTGGATTAGTTTTTGGGTTTCATTTTATGTCGAAAATTCTAAGTTTATTTTACACTTGTACAAATTTGAAGTGAGTAATAGATTCTCCAAAAGATTATACCGCGTTTTTTTACTTACATAAATTTTCCAAAAGTACCTTTTTAATGATAAAGACAAATGGAGTGTTTGTTATTAATGGATAAAATAAAATGCAAGGAAGTAAACAACTCTTCCTTCTATTCTCTAAGAGCCAAACTCAATCTAACAAAAATATCACTTTTCAATACTAACTAATTGTCTATCTATTATTCTGCCTTACTCCTCGTAGAGTAACCTAACAAATAAGATTCTGCATAACTGTCTATCCACTCCACTAATCAATCTCGTATAACATATAAATATAAGGTTCAGCATAATTGTCTCCTCACCCCCACTAATCAGTCTCATATAACATACTATAAAATTATGCAATTTTGCATAATTGCCTCCTCACTAACCAACTTCATATAACATACATGATTTTACATAATTGCCTCCCCACTAACCAGTCCCATATAACATACGAATATGTTCCGTATAGCATAGGAATTTGCATAATTGGCTCTGCCACCTCAAATGTCTCTTTCTTCCTATTTTCTCTAGCATACATTCTCCATATATTAGGAACACCTTGTGGACTACTAGCCACATCATCATTTCTAATATTTTTCTCACTAACTCCATCAATACCACCCATTTGATATACATATTTATCCTCAAGTATGAAGGTGGGAAATTGTGTGCGCATTACAAACTCCTCTTCCCACGTTGCTTCCTCCATAGCTCCACCCTTTTAGTGAATGAGTCATTGCTTGACATCAGTTTCGTCTTTCTTAATGGTGTGACTAGCCAACACGGTTGTTGTTTGATATAATATTCTACCCGGGGAATTCTATCAATCTCACATACCAAGCTCTTGGAGCCTGCTTTAATCCATACAAAGCTTTCTCCAGTTTGTACACATGGTTAGGAAAGCTTGGATTAACAAATCCCTTTAGTTGTTCCACATAAACTTCCTTATTCAGATAGTCATTTAAGAAGGAACTCTTTACATCCATTTGAAACAACTTAAATCTCAAAATGCAAGCAACTTATAAGAGTAGTCTGATTGATTCAAGTCTGGCCACAGGGGAAAATGTTTCATCAAAGTCAACTCCTTCAATTTGAGTGTATCCTTGTGCAACTAATCTTTCCTTATTTCTAGTAACCACCCCTTTTTCATCGGATTTATTATTGTACACTCATTTAGTGCCAATCACATTTGTCCCTTCAAATCTTGGAACCAGATCCCAAACATCATTTCTTCTAAATTGTTCTAGATCTTCTTGCATAACATTAATCTACAACTCATCAATTAAGGCTTCTTTGACATTCTTAGGCTCGATTTTTGAAATAAAGCAAGAGTTTGAAATCCCTTCTCTTGATCTAGTAGTAACTCCTTTATTTATATCTCCTATAATAAGTTCCTTAGGATAATCTCTCCGAGTTCTGATTGAAGGCCCTTTATTGAGTTGACTGGGCTCAATATCTTCTTGAGTTGGATTAGGATCAGTACTTCTGTCATTAGATTCTGTTGGAATGTATGACAAAGATGTTCCAACATCTTCTAAGACATCTTCTTCATCATTCCATCCTCTATCATCAATAATAACATTTATGGATTCCATCATAACCTTAGTTATGTAGTTAAAGACTCTGTAAGCTCTGCTATTTGTAGAGTAACCCAGGAATATTTCCTCATCACTCTTGGGATCCATCTTTCTTCTCTATTCACGATCAGCTAAGATGTAACATTTACTTCCAAAAACATGAAAGTATTTGGCAGTAGGTTTTCTTCCCTTCTATATTTCATACAAGGTGAATGAGGTGACTTTTCTTAGAGTGACTCTATTATGGATATAAAACGCAGTATTCATAGCTTCAGCCCAAAAGTGGTAGGTAACTTCTTAGCATGAATCATAGCTCTGGAAGATTCCTGAAGAGTTCTGTTTTGTGTTCCACAATCCCATTTTGCTTAGGAGTAATGGGAGAGGAAAATTCATGATTGATTCCTTCAGAAGAACAAAAATCAACAAATTTATTATTCTCAAATTCCTTTCCATGATCACGTTTAATTCTGATGACATGACTATCCTTTTCTCTTTGAATTTTTTTACAGATAGCTTTAAAGACTTCAAAAGATTTTGATTTTCTCTGATCAAAATTATCCATGTGTACCTAGAGAAGTCATCTACAACAACATAGGCATACTTCTTTCCACCAAGACTTTCAACCTACATAGGTACCATCAAGTCCATGTGAAGAAGTTCCAAAACTTTTAATGTGGTGAGATGTTGGATTTTCTGATGTGACATCTTAGTTTGCTTTCTAATCTGGCATTCACCACATACTCTCCCTTCATCTATCTTGAGCTTAATAATCCCTCTCACAACTTCTATATATATGATTCTTTTCATTCCTTTTAGATGCAAGTGTCGCAGTTTTTGATGCCACAGTTTAAGTTCATTTTCTTTGGCTAAAGCACATGTTGAGGAGAAGTTCAACTCTTGGGGAACCCATAAATAACAGTTGTATTTAGATTTGATTCCTTTTTATAATAACTTCATTCTTATCATTGCAAACGAGACATTCTGTCTTGGTGAAGTTTACTTTGAACCCTTGATCACACAGTTGACTTATACTTATTAGGTTATCTGTTAACCCTTTAACAAGTAATACATTATCAAGTTTTAGGACTCCTGAACATTCCAACTTTGCAACTCCTTTGATTTCACCTTTGGCTCCATCACCAAAAGTCACATAACTGGTGGAGTGAGATTTGATATCTACTAACAGATTCTTAACACATGTCATGTGTCTAGAACAACCACTATCAAAGTACCTGCCATCTTTGGTTGAGACTCTAAGAGAGGTATGAGCTATGAGACTAGCAACAATAGTCTTGCGAACCCATTGTTTCTTCTTTTTGTTATTTTGAGAGATCTGATCAGTCTTGAGAAGAGGAGCAGTTTTAGGGTACCCATACAACTTGAAACAGAAAGGTCTTATGTGACCAACCCTTCCACATTGGTGACACCTCCAGGGCTGGAATTTCTCTTTGGTGTGATTAAATTTTTTCTTTCCATGATGTCTTTTCTTGCCATGATGTTTTCCATGATGTTGAAACATTTGATTCGACATCTTTGGTTTAGACTTGGCATGAGTGGAATCTGATGAAGGTTCTTATGAATAAGGATCCTTTTTCTCATTAAAACCTAGACCGCTCTTGTCTCCTGTCACTCTTACCACTTGAAGAATTTCATCTAATGTGTCAGACCCATTATTCATCATCTTGAATGATTTGACCATTATGTTAAGATTCGAATTTAGAGAAGTCACTTCACTTTCCAGACTAGAGATAGTTTTCAGATTCTCTTTCCTTTCTGCCTTCAGCTGAGTTATGAGAGCTTTATGTTTCTCCCCTTCTTGGCAAACTTTTGCACTTATGAGACACAACTCTCTGTACGAGGTAGCTAACTCATCAAAAGTTAGTTCACCATCACTAGAATCTTTGTCAGAAACATATTTGCCTATCAATGCTTTAACATACTTGGCAGATTCCTCTTCAAGATCACTC